TAGTCCGATTATGTAATAGGTCGAGTTATGCGCGTGAGGCTATCATGCAAATTATGCAAAATAATGTCATGTAAGAATTACAAATATCATACAATGTGACATGCAAAAATTATATACATATGTTTTAATTAAAAATCATAAATTATGCATATTGACATATTATGTACAAATGTGACTTAAATATAAAAATAAAAACATGACATGCTAAACTACAATTTTAAAAAAATGTATATATATATATATATATTATACATTAAAGTAATGACTAAATCTGAACACATGTAAAATTAAACATACTAATTTAAAACTAAAACAAAAACTTAAAGAAAAGCAAGCATAAATATCATGGACTTGAACCTAATTTAACCAAAAACTTTACTATGACTTAACTAAAAAAAAAACTTAGTGATTTGTTGAAACCAAAGTGCACAGAAGCCTCACTCTCTCTCCATTCTCCCCTCTTCTCTCTCGCTAAACCCACACAACTTGAACTTTAATGGTTGCCTCCCAACGCTACTGCCTCACTCATTTTTTAATGGCCATGGATCAAACCAAATAAAAAAAACAAACCCCTCTTATAATTTATATTCTTCCTCAACTCCCATCTCTCGAAACTCTCTCCCTCACTATCTACCCTTCGAAGCTCACACAATAATACCCACTATCTACTCCGACAAAACCAACAATAATGTTTCCGACGAATAAGGTAAATGGACTAAAACCCTTTTCCTATTTGCATTCAACCCTTAAACGAATTGATTTCAAAATATTTACTGATTTTTATTCTGTTTTTTAGGAACCTATTTATTCTTTTTCCTTCGAATGTAGCACCAGAAATGACCCCAAACCTCTAAGGTAAATGTACTGTTATTTCTATATATTTTAACTTGATTTTGACTCAAAGCATATGCATGTACAAGCAAATTACAAAAACAATTGAAAATGGAAACATAGAAATAAGTAAGCAAATTACAAAAACAATTGAGAATGGAAACATAGAAATAAGTACCCCTTTTTGATTTTGTGTATTACTCTGATTCAATGACAAGAGAGATCCTTTGCTTCCTTTGATCCTCGAATATGGGAAATAACCTTTTACAAGTACTGTTCTTTTCCTTTTTTCTGTGTTTTTCTTCCCCTTTTTTTTTGTCTATCCCCCCCCGTAGTTGATATCCCTCTCTCTTTTAAATCCCATTAAAACTGATGATGGGTGGTTATTTCTTAAAAACTAAAACTGCTAAAAACCGACCCTCAAACTGCTATCTTCTTGTGCATATATCTGTTGTCCATTGGGCTTGAATGGGGCCTGTCCCGACCTAGACTCGGATAAAACCGAGCATCTACATGAAGTTTATGAATTTGCAAAGCATAAACGTTCCTCTTTTCCAGCAAGTAATAAACGGACCAACAATCCCTTTACCCTTATTCACAGTGATGTTTGTGGGCCTTACACTATTCCTAACATAACTGGGGATAGATGGCTTGTGTCTTTTATAAATAATTGTACTCGGGTTACTTGGATTTATCTGCTAAAATAGAAGTCTGATGTTATCTCTACTTTTAAAACCTTTTACACCATGATCAAGACTCAGTTTGAGGCTGAAATAAAACGAATCAGATCAGACAATTCCAAGGACTACTTTAGTCAAGTTCTGTCTCCTTATTTCTTAGAAAGAGGTATTATACATGAGTCCTTTTGTGTAAACACTCCCCAATAGAATGGGGTAGCAAAAAGAAAGAATGGATATCTTCTTGCCATAACTAGAGCCCTTTTATTTCAAAACAATGTCCCTAAAAGGTACTGGGGGGAAGTTGTGTTAACTGCCACTTACATGATAAACAAACTACCTACTAAAGTCCTTGAATCCCAAAGTCCCCTTCAAACCTTTATAAAGTTCTTTCCAAATTTTAGTTCATCTTTCAACTTAAAACCAAGGGTATCTAGGTGTATTGCTTTTGTTCACATTCATTCTCAAGGCCTAGGGAAACTTGATCCAAGAGTATTGAAATGCATTTTTATTGGGTATTCCTTCACTCAAAAGGGTTACAAGTCCTACCACCCTCCTACAAGAAAATACTACACTTATGCTGATGTCACTTTTGTGGAAAAAGAGAGTTATTTTACAGTTCCTTATCTTCAGGGGGAGATATCATTCCGGGAAGATAAGGATACATATTTGTTTTTACTTCATCCCTTTGTTGATCTTCCTACACCTACACCTATAGCTATACATTCTACAGAAACACAACCTGCTTCTACTCCATCCTCTCCCCAGTTAGAACCTAGTACTCCTCAAACTTCTACTCCTCAACCAAACATTTATAGACCACAACCCAATATTCAGGACACTACTTGTCCCGAAAAGGTCTATTCGAGGAAGAAGACACCTATGCAGATTCAACCATCCTCTTTTCCTGCTCCTGCTCTTGCTCCTATACAATTTGAGGTACACTCTGAAACTCCTTCTGAACAAAGTGATGCTGAAAATACTATATGTGCTTTTGATTTTGAATTTCCCATTACTATTAGAAAAGGAAAAAGAACCTGCACCACCAACCATCCTACCTATCTGTTTATGACTTACAAAAACCTATCCCCCAATCAGAAAACCTTCCTTACTAGCCTAAATGACATTGCTATTCCTATAACAATATCTAAGTCATTAGAAAATGAGAACTGGAAAAAAGTTATGAAAGAGGAAATGGAGGCGTTAGAGAAGAATAAGACATGAGATTTAGTAAAGTTGTCAGAAGGGAAAAAAATAATGGGATGCAGATAGGTATTTACTGTCAAGTATAAGTCAGATGGTTATCTAGAAAGGTACAAAGTAAGATTGATGGCAAAGGGGTACCCTCAAACCTATAGAATTGACTATCTTGAAACTTTTTCCCCTGTTGCAAAGATGAACATAGTGAGGGTCCTATTGTCCTTAGTAGCTGTTCAGGGATGGAATTTGCAGTAGTTTGACATCAAGAATGCCTTTTTGCATGGGGATCTTGAAGAAGAAGTTTACATGGATATTCCACCCGGATTTGGTTCGAATACTGGACAAGCAATGTGTAAATTGAGAAAAACTCTTTATGGACTAAAACAATTCACAAGAGCTTGGTTTGGGAGATTTACTAAAGTAATGCTAAAACAAGGCTTCAAACAGAGTCAAGGTGATCATACTCTGCTTGTGAAATACTCTCATTCAGGGGGAGTAACTGCACTTTTGGTATATGTAGATGATATAATTGTTACAATAATGATTCTAAAGGAATTGGTAATTTAAAGAAGTGCCTTATAAAAGAGTTTGAAGTGAAGGACCTTGGAAGATTAAAATACTTCCTTGGTATTGAGGCGGCTCACTCACAACAAGGGAATTTTATATCTCAATAGAAGTATACTTTGGACTTGTTGAAGCAAACTGGAAAACTAAGATGTAAACCAGCAAAAACTCCTATAGAAGTCAATCACAAGCTTGGAGACTCAAAGGAGGATTATTTGACAGTTGACAGAAATTCTTTTCAGAGACTCGTGGGAAAGCTTATCTATTTGTCACACACCAGACTAGACATAGCATATGTTGTTGGGGTTGTGAGCCAATTCATGCACAATCCTAAGGAATCACACCTAAGGGTTGTAGTCCAAATTTTGCAGTACTTGAAGGGTACACCAGGCAAAGGAATTCTATTTAGAAGAGGGGGGAACTTGACTCTGGAAGCATACACGGATGCAGATTATGCAGGATCCATAATTGATAGAAGGTCAACCTCAGGCTATTGCACTTTCTTTGGAGGAAACTTAGTTACTTGGAGAAACAAAAAAACATAATGTGGTGGCTAGATCAAGTGCAGAAGCTGAATTTCGAGCTATGGCATTGGGAATTTGTGAGTTATTATGGCTGACGATTATTTTAGAAGACTTGAAGGTAAAGTGAAATGGACCAATGAAACTCTACTGTGATTAGAGCTGTAAATGAGACGAGACAGATCACGAGCTACTCGAGATCGACTCGATCAAGGCTCGATAAATACTCGGATCGAATGGACTCGACTCGAGTTCTTAACGAGCCAAAACGAGCTACTCGATATTCAACTCGAAAAGCTCGTGAGCAGCTCGAAAATATAATATATTAAGATTTTATTTTTTTAAAAAATAAGTTATTAATAATATTAATATTTATGTATTGATTTTTTTAAAAAATATAGTAAGATTTCATATATTTAAGGTTCATGTTCGAGTTAGAGGCTTCAATTGAGTTAAGTTTAAGATTTTTTTTTTTTCATTTCGAGCCTTTCCGAACTGCTTACGAGCTTCAGTTCAGGATTTCGAGTTCGAGTCGAGCTTGAAAATTTTAAGCTCTCGAGTTTTCGAGTCGAGTCGAGCTCCATTTCAGAGTTTTCGAGTCGAGTCGAGCTCAGCAATACTCGAGCTCGACTCGGCTCGTTTACACCCCTAACTGTGATAACAAGTCAGCAATCAACATTGCTCATAATCTAGTTCAACATGACAGAACAAAACATGTTGAAGTGGATAGACATTTTATAAAAGAGAAACTTGACAGTGGCTTGATCTGTACTCCTTATGTGACCACTGTAGATGAAGTTGTAGACATACTTACCAAGGGTCACTTAGTAAGTATTTTTAGAAATTAACAGGCAAGCTGAGGATGGAAGATATCCATACTCCCAGCTTGAGGGGGAGTGTCAAAGATTAGTTACCTATGTTAAGGAGATTGAGTTGGATTTGTAAATATTTTGTTTAGTTAGTATCCCTAAATCTAAGTGATTGTTTTTATTACTAGAATTAGTCTTTTACCTAGTTTAGAAGTTACCTAAGATAAAGCCTAGGCTTGTATATATAATTGTAAGTTTCCTACACGTTTAATAAGTGCGAATTACAATAAAATTCATGGCTTTTGTCACGCTTGATAGATTATTTGTGGTAGTTCTTTTGTTCTGAATATTTCTCCATTGGCATTGTTTTGTAAGATATTTGTTTGTTGTTTGCACAGGTATGAAGATGATGCTGTTGTAGGTCATCGCTTATACCGGGAAATAAGGAAAGTTGAGTTGAAGAAAGAAAAGATGAAAGGTTCCCATGTCCCTAATAGTGCAACATATCTGTGGGAAACAGTTGCAACGAATTTGGAAGAATTTCAAGATGTTTCTGTAAGTTGGGTGACTATGCTGTTCATATAATGTACTGAATGGATTCCTGGACCATAATGTCTATCCTCAAGGCAAACTTGGCTGCAGCATTGACTACACCATATTGTTGCGATTTTATTTTATTTATTTATTTATTCACATGGCTCAAAAAACTGAGTCTGAGGCTTGTACGTGTCTTTTAGCAAACGAAACCTTCAGAGTAGACATATGTTCTGTAGGAAAAGTTAAGTTGTTCGTTTAAGGTATGTGTAGCCAAATAATCACCCTCTAGAATGATGTGTGCTAATCTCATCGTCTAGTAAAATCCAAACTTTTCAACACAGTGGCAATATGCAAGTAATTTGTTCATTTAAGACCAGTACAGTGAAAATATCACCCTTTACCATAATTTATGCTAAACCTATAATCTAGCAAATCTAAGTTCTCTATACAGTAGCAACCTCCTTGAGCTAGGTTTTTGGGTTTCTGATTTTGGGGGTAACATTGTAATGGCAATTTGTGGAAGAAATAGCCACTAGAAATGGATAATGGTTTAAACAGTGGCATTAACAATATGGAGCAGGGCACTGGGTGTTTGGTTGATATCATGGCTTCGTAAGAGTATCCGGTGGTTCTGCTTACTTCCAAAGTTTGATCTAAGGTAGGAAGCAGGCCACTGTTCATTTTACTGGATGCTGTTTTCACACATGTTTTGTGACTCATTATCCAGTAATCTGTAGTTGCCTTATTTGAAGGCCATAACAAACATAATTATTAGTGTTTTGATCTACAGATTGTTAGGGTATATGTTCCATTGTTTGTTTATGTACTAGGTGAGGATTGTTGTTAGGGTTTATATATGTTCTATAATTATAGATGCCATCATCAGCTTTGATTCTTGCATGTTATTTGCATCTAAGTTCCCAGATTTTTACCCTTGCATTTCTTTGTGAATTGGAAGCTGGGATCATAATTCATAACCAAGATGATTTTGATTGAGACACTAAACTTCATCTTCTGAATTTCTTTCTCAAGACCTTCAAACTCTAATGTTAAATTGTTTTCATTGGGGAAAAGAAACCATTAGTGGCATTTGGAAGTACTCCTATATGGCATGATGCGGTCATCGATGTTAATTTCTTGTCATATGGAAGTTTGAATGAAGAAGCTATTTCATCCCCCTTTACTGTTGAAGACTGAGTTTTGTGTGTATGATCTGTTTTTGTTTGCTTGAAAATGCGGATTTTTTTTAGCTTTTATTTGAATCCTATTACTGATATTATCTGTTCACCTGCTGTTGCAGGAGAAACTTTTTGCCAGTAAAAATAGAACGGAAGCATCGCTAGGGAAGAAGTTAAAGAATAACATGATTCCTGAGGTTGAAAAGGAACACAAGGTACTTAAAAAAGTTGCTTGTCGTTGAGCAGCATCACTAAAACTGTTATCCTTCTTTCAAGGTACAAATTGTTTATTAATCCAATTCTTTTGCTCAGAGGAAGGAGAGGTTACTGAAAAAACAACATAGACAAGCTCCACTTCTTGATAACTTCTTGGTTGTTGATGGGCTTGGTTTAGGACGCTCCCTTCGTGACAGAAAACCTGTGACTTACACATTTGGTAAGGAACTTTAAAGTCAAACATACCTTTTTTTTACTGGATTTTTGCATTTTAAAAACAAGAGATCCAATTTTTTATGGTTTTTTTTGCTCCTAGTCATAAATACTGGCAGTGTTAAACTGACTTTTCTGGCTTGTTAAAGTTCAGATTCGTTAATAATTTTGCGTTTAGATTCTATTTACTTTCATCTTAGCTGATATAATTTCTTATAATTTTGCAGATGATTATGATCGGTCAATAAATGAGGCTATTAAGATTACTAAGTATGTAGTTTATACCTAGACATATTCTGGAACACACTGATATATTTCCTTCCGATCATATGTACTTGTTTTTATGCCTTAAAAATGGTTTCTCACTGTTGACTGTGTGTCAGGCGGAAAGCACCATCACCGGATCCTCTCAGTGGAAGAGATGTTGCCAAGTCTGAATCTTCCACAAATGGTAAATTGAGTGGTCCTTCACATGGCTCTGAACAGGACAATTACAATCTACCTTCCCCCAAATTATCTGAATATGATGATTCTGATGATAATAAATCTGGGGAATTGGATCGTAGGTATGATGGAACTTCATCACTGAATTGCTTCTATTGTTGCTTAAACTTTATCTGATTTTTATATGATCCCTTGTAGCAATCGGCGGAGGCAGAGACCTCAACAATATTCAGTGACAGAGTTTGTCGAAGCTGTTTCAGACAATGAGACAGACTTTGACAGTGATGATGATATAGTTGGAGAAGCAGCAAATGATGAGGAATACCTGAGAAAAAGAAATCAGAGAAGGCAATCCAGCAGCTCAGAAGGAGATGAGGAATACCACTGGGATGGCGAAAGTGCTGAAGATGAGGAGGAAGAAGAGGATTCTTTAAGTATCAGTGAGGACAGTGACGAGGCCAAGAAGTTGCCAGGCCGTACTAGGAGGGAAACTAAGCAAAGGTCAGTTAATGAGCTTCAGTCAGGTCTAAGGCGTAGTAAAAGAGCCACCAGAAATTGTCTTAATTATAGTCAGTACGATCTGTCGGAATCTGAAACAGAGTCTAAACCTGAAAAGCGCAATCCATCAAATGAACACTCAGATGCAAGTGAGAATGAGGAGTACTCAGAAGCAAGTAAAGATTTCAATGGCAGTGACTATGACCAGGAAATGGAAGTTGATCCTCCTATGGAAGCTAACTCGGAGAGGGTGGAGAAAGAGCAAAGCCAGCAACCTGAGCAATCAAGCGGCAGCGGGCAAGATGAAGCAGATGGTACCCGAGAACCACGCTTCCTTGACCTAAACGAACTTGCTCCCGGTTCTGGTTGTGACGACGGTCCAAATACAGCAACGAAAGACGTCGATAGAAACGATTTCTAGAGCTCATCTGGTGGAGAGCAAATGTTGTAATTTTCTCCTGGGGGAAGCAAAGTGTATGCTAGTAAAATTTATAAAATTTTGCGATAATCCTATCGAGGAAATTATGGTCGGCATTCCTCCAAGGCTTCACTCTACCTGGATGCAATCCCTTGCAGGAGGGAGGCAACATGATGAGAAAGACCTGTAGATTAGGTAGTCATTTTTTAGCATGTCTACATTGAAACAAACCTAAGGCAATCTTGGTCGATGGGGATTCAGGAGTTTTTAGCTTATCCACTTGAATGTACAATAACCCTTTTAACAAATATTCGTAGCTGAGAAGAAAAAAACATGGGTTTTAGATGGTGTGGCCCTGTAGACCCTTGTGCTATTGGGGGTGGTTGGCTCCTGCTCTTACTATGTATCCTTAACCAAATTCCTTTTTCCCCTTTTCCTTTCCTTACGCGATAAATGAATCGAGCTTGAACGAATGGTTTGATGTTCGTGTTCTTTCTTTTTTATTAAAAGTTAAATTATTTGTCAAAACCATGTGATTAATTGGGTGAAAGATGTCACAGCTGGCAATTGCAAAAATGAACATTTCTCATAAATGCATGTTGGAGGCAAAGGAATGAAGGCAGCTGGGTCAAACTTGATGGATTTAACAAAATCAAAGCATTTCCCACGGAGAATCACAAAATAGACATGGTCAACGGTCAACAAAGTCACCCACCCTTCCCCTGTCGCAATGTTAGAATCCTTTAACACTGGGAATACATTAAACATCCACAGTGATTGGACCTTCTAAAAGTCCCAACCCATTCCCCTTGTATAACCCATAAGAGCATATTGTGCAATCAGTTCTTGATAGATTTAGAATATGTATTATAATCTGATTAGTTTTTGAGTATCTAAAATTTGAATCTTAGATAGATAGTTGTTGGATGAAGATCTGTTAAGTCAAAGTTAGTATTAATTCTTATATTATGTATAAATTATAGATTTAATTTTTATTTTCTGATTTGATAATTTTAAGACTCTGTAATCTAATTATATTATTCAAACATCACTTTGATTTAGACTACAATTTTAAAATAAAAAAATATAAATTTAATTTAACTTAACTAAAGTTTAAAGACTAAATTTTTAATTTACATATTGTATAGGGACTATTGATAAAATTAGACCAATTTATATGGTTATTTTGGGTAAAAAAGAAAATCAATCAATCAGAATTTTTCTCAACGGTACCCACCGCAATGCACAAGCCCCCACCCGCCCCTTAAAAAACGCCTTACTCAACGGTCCCCATCTCTCCTCCCTTTTCTCCAATTCCAACACAACCGGCAATTCGATAAACATGGCGCACCGCCCCAACCAGCGCCGCAGCTCGGCTGCACCAGAACCGAACTCATCTCCCTATTCCTTAGACCCCACCTTCAAAATGTAGCCCAAACAAACCATAACCACTCATCCTATAACCCAAACCTCAGATCCATTAACGTCGTCCAAGAAGCCATTTTTCATGTCCAGTCACTTCTCTAGATTGAATCTCAGTCACAAGACCCGAGCACCCCCGAAACCCACCAACAACCAGCACACTAGAGACATTCGTTTACAAGCCAAAGCTTTGACGGTCTCAGCTGATGCCGAATCCTCCAAGTTTTCGCTTATCAAAGCGACCCACCGGCTAGCCCATGAGAAGGCCAAAGAATCGTTGAAAGATACGTTTAGGAAAGCATCGAAGGATTTGGGTGGAAAGAAACAACAACAACAACAACAACAAAGATCAGTGCTTGATAGCAAGAAATTAGCTTTGACAACAGTGAAGGAGAAACAGTTGAAGACTCTACATGAAGGGCACGATGATGATGGCGATATGAATAAGGGTTCAGCTTCATTGAGCAGGAGAAGATCCTTAAGCGGCTCAAAAGTAGAGTTGAGTGGCGTTCTTGCAAATTGTGGTGTCAAAATTGTTTCGGTTGATATGCCACCGTTTGTGCAGATGCATGCGGTTGATTGTGCAAGGAAGACTCATGATAGCCTTGAAAAGTTCACTTCTAAGGCCCTTGCACTCACTCTCAAGAAGGTAAAAGGTTATTAATTTGATAAAAAAAAAGAAAAAGAATTTTCCCCTTTGATACCATTTGTTTATGATTTGTTGTTGTTGTTGTTGTTGATTCTACGAACAATGATCTGGGGATTTCAGTTTACGAGAGACATAATTGAGCAACTTACTTTTGTGTATGCAGGAGTTTGATGGTGTGTATGGACCGGCATGGCATTGTATTGTGGGGACGAGTTTTTGGGTCTTTTGTAACGCATTCAGTTGGTGGGTTTCTCTATTTCTCAATGGATCAAAAGTTATATGCTCTCTTGTTTAAGACAAGTGTACAAAGAGCTGATTGAAGTCTTGTTACAAAAATAGAACAATTTCGAAGCTAAAAAAGCATATCTAGCATAGCAAAACTTTTGGAACCATAAAGCAATGCCCCCTCTCCCCCCCCCCCAAAAAAAAACCCCATTTGTAGCTTGTACATTGCTTTTCCATAAGAAGAACAAAGAAAGAGTAGAATATTTAAGTCCCTTTTCAAGTGGTCTTAGCCTGCATGAACACATTCCTCTTCTAAATGCAGTACCTTTGTATCTGGTTTAGAAAATACAGAATCATCGTTTTGTTTGAGCAGTTGTTCATATTTTTTAATTTGATCTTCTACATTTTGGTTCGTCACACTGGAAGACAATGGAAGATGCTTTGATTTCAGCACCATATGAGAGTAGCTTAAACGTGGCGGACTGTGATTGGTTCCCGCACTAATAGGGGTCTCTCAAGCTAGAGAGGACCCTCCATGTTCCCCTCTGCAAAACTCATCTTTTAGTGGTGATTCTGAGCATATGGTGTCATGTCCTGTGACTCGGCATTTAATTTTTCGACAAGGGGTGTCCTGTTAGTTTTTAACAAAAATTGGCCAAATCCCACATTGGAAATGAACAAAGGATGAAAAAATTCTTAGCCTATAAATAGAACATTTTCCTTTGGTTAAATGTATGTCAATCACCAAAATACAAGTGGTGTACTAGAAAGCTATTAGCTATACTAGTAGAGAATTTAAAGGGAAATTCTATTGGGGTGTACTTTAGCTTTTGGGCATGTGTAAGAGTTAAATACTTTGTAGTGTGGTTGTAATAATTTTTTACATAGTAAATATTTTTTCTCTTGGTTGTCTTTTGACAACGCTTGTGGTTTTTCTCCATTTGGGAGTTTTCCACGTTAAATTATTGTGTTTTTCTCTCTTTTATTTTTCAAGTATTTTTTGTTAATGTTGTGATCTAAAGGGATTGTTGGATTACAAGGGGTCTATTTTCTCAACAATTGGTATCGGAGCCAATGGTTTGGTAAAAGATAAACTTCAAGGCGGGGTAAGAATTTCTTTAAAATTCTTAGTATGCTCTGTGGTTGCGGCTTTGTCCGATCTTCTACATCAGAAAAGATTTTTTAGAAATTGTTGTGGTCCAACTGGAGGTCCTTTAAATACGTTATTGTGTTTATTGAGTGTGGTATTGTGTAAGTAAGTGCAGCCAAGAAAGTTTTGTCACAAAGGCTATAATCGCCTAAGGAGGTTGGGACTTAAGCGGTACCATTTGTGTCCCCCCAATCTTTCCTGGAAACTTTCTTAGTGCATTTTGTAGACACAATTGTTCACTCATTATTTACGTGTGAGATCACTGGAGCATTGTTGAGCAAAAATGAGTTTCAGATTTGATATTGAGAAATTTGATGGGAGAATTAATTTTGGGTTGTGGCAAGTACAAGTCAAGGATATACTAATCCAGTCTGGATTGTATAAGGCCTTAAAGGGAAAGCCAACTTCTTTGTCCGAAGGAAAGGAACCAGATAAACCTAGTGACAGCAGTGGAGACAAGGGAAAATCCAAGATGAGTGAAGAAGAATGGGAGGAGTTAGACATGAGAGCAGCAAGTCACATTCGTCTCTGTCTAGAAAAAAATGTTCTTGCTAATGTTGCTAGATGGTCATCAACAAAGGAGCTTTGGGAAAAGCTTGAGGAAATGTACCAAGCTAAAAGTCTTTCAAATAGGTTATATTTGAAGGAGAAATTTCACAAATTGCAAATGGAAGAAGGTACAAAAATTTCTGACCACCTTAGTGCACTCAATGGGATTGTTTCTGAACTGGAATCTATTGGAGTGGAGATTGATGATGAAGATAAAGCATTGAGACTTATTTGGTCTATTCCATCTTCCTATGAGCACATGCAAACCGTTTTAATGTACGGGAAAGAGAATGTGAATTTTTCAGAAGTGACAAGTAAGCTGATTTCGGAAGAAAAAAGGCTGAAAAATGGAGAGAACAAATCTTCTGAAAGTGGAGCATTGTCGGTTTGTGGAAATAGGAAGAAGTATAAAGGCTCCAAAAAGAAAATTATCTGTTGGGGATGTGGGCAACCTGGACATCTAAAGAAGGATTGCAAAAACGGTGGAGCTAATTCGGCTAATGGCTCCAAAAGTGATGCTACTAATGTAGTCGTCTTTGAAAATGAAGACGATGAATTTGTTTTTTAAAGTAAGATATATATCCTCATGGCATGATAGCTACCAATTGAGTTGCCATGGAAAAGGATGTATGAAAAGGTAGCATGTCCACATTTACACATGTGCATTGGTTGACAGTTGATGCAAGGTGTGTGGTGGAATTGATGTCGATGGCTAATGAACTTCCTAGAAAGTCAATATTGGAAGTTGCACCATAACTTATTAGCAATTTTTCGACATGAACTGGTCAAGGTAAAAATTCTTGGAGTTAGTGAATTCCAAGTGTGTATACTCTTATGGTGGAGTATGACAATTCTTGTTTTTAGAATTGTGACTATCATAGCTGATGGTGTTATTGAGGTAGCTGTTGTTTTTATGGTGAAGAATTGTATGTAATTTTTGCCAAGGTGGAGATTTGTTAGTTTTTGGCAAAAATTGGCCAAATCCCACATTGGAAATGAACAAAGGATGAAAAAATTATTAGCCTATAAATAGAACATTTTCCTTTGGTTAAATGTATGTCAATCACCAAAATACAAGTGGTGTACTAGAAAGCTATTAGCTATACTAGTAGAGAATTTAAAGGGAAATTCTCTTGGGGTGTACTTTAGCTTTTGGGCATGTATGAGAGTTAAATATTTTGTAGTGTGGTTGTAATAATTTTCCACATAGTAAATATTTTTTCTCT